GAGTGCTTGAAGACGCCGAATTCTGCCATTTTGGGCGTATTAATCCTACACTTCTAGAGCATTTATCGTGCCATTCAACTTTGCAGTTTCATTGACAAGAAAGAGACCAGAGAAGAAGGAAGAGCCACCAAGACAGAAGAAAACAAAGAAGAGAATTATGGAGTCTTAATGTTCGCCCTCATTTCTCGCTATCACGGTTAGATTTTGGAGTTGATCAAAAAGGTGTTTCTTTATGGATAGTACGGAAAATTGTCTTTCATCGCAAATCGCAAACGGCATGTAATTGCCCATCATCGAACGCCTGTTCTTGGCGTTTTTTGTTCTGTTCATGAGGGTGTGCTACACTGAGACCTGGCAGTAACAGTAATAGTAATAGCTGGGTCGCGTCCATACTCTCGAATTGCTGATTGGGAAGAATTCCAGACTATGAAGATTTGGGGACAAAGAAAAGCATGGCTAGCGATGTGGGGAGCGTGCGATTCCAGAAAAGGATTAGATGAGAGTGGAATGGCTCTGCCCACTTGCATTTACGAAGAATCTTCGACTCAGGGATCGCCGCTAGTAAGCTGGATCTTCTGATTCTTATCTCCATGAAATTGTAGCTACGAGCGCTTATGGTTAGTAGATAAGAGCGGCTTGAGCTGGATGATAGGCACGTGCGTAAACCTCTTTTCGGGATATAGTAACATGTTTTTCTTTACTGTTGTTAAGTCATCATCGTCCATCGTCCATATAAGAGGACCACAATGGGGGAGGCTGCGTATTCCATGCCGACTCTCCTGTCTTACCCATCACAGTTCAAAACTTCGTAATGAATCGCTTAACCTGTGTTTACATTTTGCTTCAGCGCACAGGGCACATCATTGGTTGGGGATTTCCGGTCTACCCCCCCCCTTTGTTTGGGGGTTGGTACGACCCCCCCTCCGGCCCTCTGGTCCTTCCTCATCGAATCGAGGGGGCGGGGGATAAATAGCACATGTTAAACAGGAAAGACCGCGAGACAATACGACCCCCCTTCACCATTTCTCAGATATTCCCCAACTTCTTGCCATTCTTCCAAGATTTTCCGAAAACTTCCCTACCTTTGCCAAAAATTTAGCTGTCAAGCGGGGGGGGGGATATATATAGTACGCATGCAACAGAAAAATCACGAAAAGTCTACCACCACTCCCAACACTCCTAGAAAGGCCAAAAAGTAAATAGCATTACGACTCCCCTCCCAACAATGGCAGCACGACCCCCCCCCTTTACAACGTCCGTGAAGCGAGAAAAATCAACTATCAAAATAAATTTTTCAGCCCAAATACGACCCCTCTCCTGGCGGCCAAATACAACCCCCCTGTTGGGATTCCCAACGATATGCCCTGTCAGCGCACGCCAGAGACCAGGAACGTATGGACATCGGTCTGGCGGACGCGAGCGTGTGCCAGCATTTTCACGGGCGTTTTGAGCTTGAGAAAAACTTGCCCGCGCAACGCTGCGGTACAGTGTAGGCTGGCGTTCCCTAGACATCAATATTCGGCACTCCTCAACTATTTGTACATACCGCAACCTTTCGAGAACCCTTTTTGACCGGCTTTTTTCTAAGACCGCGTTCAGACTTCGCGATCGCGCGAACCAGGTCGCGCGAATTGGATTGCACGATCGCGAAGTACAAACGGTCTAGGGGCAGCGTCGGCTGAAAACCCGGTTCTAGGGGTAGTTCGACCCCTGAACACTAATAACACATCCGCTTGACGAGAAAGTGCCTGGCGCCCATGCTACAAACGCCGGCACCCTAGGTCACCAAATCTACTGAAAATATGTATACGGGGGATGTTCCACATCCTGATTACGATTATGATATTCATTCTTGGCTACGGGTAGCGCCACACCTTGAATAGTACCCAATATTCATACTTTCCTAGACGCTGGCATGCGCTAGATCGACTACTTTCTTAGTCGCTGGCGTACGCTCGAAACGCTGCCCGCGCTGGCGCAAAGTGTGAACGCCACCTCTCGTCTACGCTTGCCGCGCGCAGGGACTGCGGTACTACTTCCATATTTCAATCGAAACAGCTAAATAAACTATAACAATCACATAGAAAAGTATCACATTGAGCGAACACATTTATATTGAAAAACACGTTTAAGGAACTTTTATTTAGCGATTTCAATATAACTGTACCGGAACCATTGCACTTTTATTTTTCATGCAAAGTCGAAAAAATAACACATCTCATTCACAATCTTGTCTTGAATTGAAAAAAAGAGATCAAAATCGAAATGAAAGCAGTAACAAAAATATACATATTGATAAAATGCAAAGAGACAGGTCTATTCTTCTTCCCTAGCTTTTAATTGCCTTAAAGCTGATTCGTATGTTTGACGTCTGGGGAAGAAATCATGTAAATATTCTAGCTCATCATTCTCCAAGACATATTCAGCCACTTCGTCGTAATCAATGTGTTCTCCAAACTGACTGGCAACATTCTTCACTAGATGTTCCATGAATAACTCCGCGCCTTTGGCAATACAAAATAGTGCTTCCTGTGATAATGGCAGAGCATCGGGAACCGTTCCGATGATGGTTTTCACTCGAGAAAGGGGCAATGCTGCCTGCCCGATATCTTCCCTTTCAGGCACATCCAACTGCAAATCTGATGGCGACTCTCCCCCACTATCCATCATACAGTTTCTGAACAAAAAGACCTTTATAGCTCCGTTAACACAAATTCTGAGCCGTTCAGAAAGCTTCAAAACAAATTTTGAAAGGTCAACACATTGAAAGTCGGGTGTGATTTGGAAGATCTTAGAACTGAAAAAGCTCTGAGATCGGCATCTCGAGGAGTGTTCCTAACAACTCAACTAATTCGAGCGCGATGCCGCAGTTCGGATCTCCTGAACGGCACCCTAACATATCCACCTTCAACATTGAATAATAACTAAAAAGCCTACTTCCAGATAAGGTAACGCTAAGGAAAATAAACAGTTTCTCCGATGTTACAGGCGCCCTACGGGTTAATATCTCCAGTGACGATTAACACTACATTCAGCTGTTGCGCAGCAGTTACCTATGTTACAAAATCCATGTCAAAGCATAGAAGAAAAGTCATTAGTTTGTCCTCTATACTTCGACTGCGCGAAATTTCAGAACTCGCGGCTTAAACTAGTTGTTTCACGATTCCTACATCCTTTCATAGGCGTTCGAAGTGTAGCTGTGACCCTTAGTAGTGACTGACCATGTGACGTAATTACGACCAACAGGTATTCGATAAAATATTCAGGCGCGACCTTATCTGAACTGAAAGGCACGCCTACAACGGCCCCATCAACTAGGGTACGTCGTACATTGGGCATCCTCAGCGAGGGGGATGCAGGTCGTGTGTGCCTTTCAGAAAAATGCTTTCGGTTGTAGGTGCCAGGGTTTTGCTCGTTCCACGAGCGCTATAGCGCTATGTACCTACCCACCTTCTCGAGGGCAGTTGTTTTTTAAGAAGTGAAAAAGAATGGAAAAACTCTGAATGATCTGGAACATTTAGGAAGAAGGTGGGGAGATGGATAGGGAAGCAGGGTCGTATTAGAGGAAGAAATTCCAACGAGGGTGTCGATTCTAGCAAAAACACACCCCAACCAGAGGACATGACCTGTCACCTTCTTACACCACCCTGTCTCGGTTCTGCCCAAGGCCACCCTCCTCTCCCTGGACTCTTACGACTATTTCCAATATATTTTTCGAATTCGAGCCAGGTCCCGCCTAACAAAAACGAAAACCTCCCAGTGAGAATGTTTAGAAATCTTTAACTGATTCATATCCTGACTAACTGTAACACTTGGCCCATAATGCATGGAAAACTTTCTGGAAAAATGAAAAACTTTCTGAAAAATAAGCTTGGTAAATCAGAAACTCCCCAAACACTCAGAACTATTTGCATAAACTCAGGAAAAAAAAAGAAGACAAGAAGAACTAGAGGCTTCGGGAAGGGAAAAGAGCATACTTCAAAAATATACGAGTTCTCTGAAGCAGAGCTCAGCAGAAATTACGATACAGCTCAAACGCTTGGGCCATTCGCCGAATATTAAACTAAATGAAATATGATAGCTCATTCTCAAACAGCAAAATCGGAAAACACGTTCGCCGCGGGCCGCGATTCTCCATGATTTGGCTCCTGCCAATTTCCACGCTATGCTATTATTTCCTTTACGATACCGAGTTCGAGTGAACACAGCTATTTGGATTCATCGATTTGCAATTAAAACATCGCGAAAGCCTTTGATTATTTTATTTCTTGTGTGTTTATCTGTGAGATTTAATTGAAATGTTTTATTGACTTATCGTGCTGTAGTTTTCAAGTCGGGGATTCGGCTCTGCCGGCTGAATTGAAACGATTACAGCGGGCACTCCTAGGAATCGAGTGGAGCAGCTCGAGAGAGGACAGTTGTGACGGTGACCGAGGCCCGAGCGCTGTATCTTTCGTTGTATGAAGAGCAGGACACTTGAAGAGGCTCCTGGGGCGGTGTAATAAAAGATAAATGTATATGTATAAATTATAGTCAATGTGGTTGAGGCACTTGTGCGCGATGGAAGCAAGGGATTAATTTGCTTGAAGACAAAAGTGAAAGGTTTCGCAGCTTATTCACGTGTTACTACCTGCGCCACTGTTTCCAGAAAGGCGAGTGGGGGGGGGGGTTTTGTCATCCGGGCTTCGTGTTAGTGATGGCATGAGTTGTTGATGTATCCTCTGTATATATATATATACATCCTGCCGGAACGACGCGGGCCTGGGCGCCGTGGTGATAGGCGCCGGCCGCTATGGGGGATATAAGTCATCGGGCGCGGCTCCTTTAAGGCGAGCCTGCGGTGCGTGGTGGCAGTGAGATTGTCGTGCTGATATCTAGTTTATATGTATGTTTATACGGCTCTAGTGCCGGAATAGTACTCTCTCTTGTAGTGTTTTGATTGTCGGGAATCACCATAGCTAAGCCCTAGGTGTTAAGCAAGTTTTTATTTGTTTTTGTAGTTGTGTTGTTCTTTTCTATGGGGCCGGTGCAGAAAAAGTATGTGTGTCACGTTCGTTGGGTAGCCGAATAACCCCGTGGTCAGAGTTATGATGCGATTTGGTTGGGTTGAGAAATGTTAAGACACGGAATGGCGCCGAGGCCGTAAAACGAATGTTGGATACTCTGTGCATCAGCGCAGCGAATAAACGACTCGACTCCTATTACAATCGGACAGATTGTTTGTTTTTTTTCGATCTTTGGGGGGCGGAGTATAAGCTCGAATAGCGCGCCGAAAGTTCGCATGAGGGTAAATAAACAGAGATGTCCAGTTTAGAATGTGTGTTGGAGAAGAGGCGCAACAGAATTAAGGAAAAAGAGGTAGAAAAATTGTATTAGTGAATGGCACCAGGACGTAATAGGATCAAGGACGAAAGAGAGGAATTGAGGAATATGCAGTTTTCTTTGGAAGAAAATTTGATTTCTAGCCGCAGAAGCGGCGCGCCCCACAGCAGCGACGCGTCGGCCGGACCTGATTCAAACGGTTTCCGTTTCGCGCTCTGCCACCAGCGATTCCAGCGTCTCATGAAATCGAGTCCATGAAAAATTCGCATCTTGGAGTCAGCGAATTCGAAGCTTAGGAGAAAGCGTCACTAGGGAAATCAATGAAGTGAGAAATAGCTGAGCTAACGATCCTTCTTCAGGTATTTCAAGTGACCGGAACAAAAATTAGTCCATGGGTGTCGTGTGTTATGAAAGACCCCACGTTCAGCAACTTGGCAATATTGCAGGGACAGGGGATGGAGACGAATTCCGGAGAAGGATGAGGGCAGGAATGACGACGGTTCAGATTGCCAGGCCACAGCTTTGAACGCCCAATAATTTTCGCCAGACAGCAGATGTGCAGGCCTCTGAGAACCCGCCATCCGATAACATTTTTACATAGCTTTTGGGCTACTTGAGCAAAGCTGCAAATGCTAACCTTCAGCACAGAAGAAACTAGAATATACCTGGTGTCTGGGGAGCATTTTTCACAGCATTTTCTTCCTAACAAGGTGAGCTGTGCAACAGTGTGGGTGAGCTTATTTTCCAAATTTTGGGTATTTTTGCTATTTTTGCATGCTACTGAGAAGACGTCAGAAATGCTAGGGAGACAAGGCGTTTGGTGGGATAGCGTGCAATTCTCAACATGTTTAGTCTTTTGACGACGACGTCGTTGGCAAAATCAGAAGAACAAAACACCGTTGATAATGCCGAGGTTTCAAGATGAGAGGAGTATGTCTAGACAGTGGCACGATCATTTTCTATATCCGGAAGTTCTCTATGTGTTTGTACGTTTGTCCGACCACAAAGAAAATGGGAACTGCGTGAAAAAACCACTTTACGGAGCGGGTCAAGTTTGATGATATGGATGGAACACAGATCACTATGGACACGTAAGCTGCCAGGCTGGGTGCACACTCCGCCACAATGTGCGTCCAAGTTGGCGGTGTCAAGGACGAAAACTCTTCGCGCGATCGCGAAGTCTGAACGCGCTCTTAAATCTATCGTCTACAGAAGAGTAAAAAAAATAAAGGAAGCTCAGCATTCGGCGCTCGAAAGAAGGTAGAGACACTCGCGGTGGGGGTGTGTGCACCGATTAGATAGTGCTCGCTCTAAAATTCATCAAACTTTTCTAAAAGCAAACATCAACAAACGGCCATTACAAAACGACACATCCCCGCACAGCAAATTCTCATCAATGCCGAGAATGGCATGTATATTTTGGAGGACTGCTCACTAGGAGGCGGGGGGCTAAACTGTTTAATGGGGGTCAGTTCGACGCTTACGGAAACAAAAATAAGTTTGGAAAGGGCACGATTGTGCAAACTGATATAAAGAGCAAAGGCTGGTCAAGCCATGCACCCCAAACCTGTGAACTTGGGATTTTTAATTTTTATTATTATCAAACATGTCATAAGGATGTCAGGAGTCACCATCAACAATACATCAAATACGAATACATTCGATTATCTAGATGATTTTTTTGTGATTTCCAATTTGGAATATTTTTTCAACTAACAAGTTTTTTTTCTACATCACCGTCCACCACAAGAAATCTTCATAAGAAAATACATGTACACAAGATTAATGTAATGGAGAGAGAATTATCTAACAACAGAGTAATTTCTACAACACAACAAAACAGATGAGTCTCAGTAAGTGGAGAGCTTTATAAGAATAAAAATGACGCTTCAGCATCAGCAATTTACATTGTTAAATAACGCAGCTTCTCAATGAGATTGAATAAATAGAAAAGACCTTGCATGAACATTCAAAACTAAACTAATCGATCAAATGTGCGATGATAAATGATGAGCGCCATAAGAACAAAACTATGGGACAACAACCTTCAATGGTCTATGACTGCGTTTTAAAAAAAGTATAAGCATAACAATACAAGACCCGAAAGACTTCCGTAGATTTCAGGTGATGCCTCAATATACTTCCATACAATAAACGAATAGATAGCAAACAATTCAGATCACACTTACACTCTTAGAATGAGGATATTCAAGAGCAGAACTATCAACACACATTTTACCTTGCCGAACACAATTATTCAACTAAAAACTGCAAGCCTTGCCTTTTTGGTGATCTATCTATCGCACACTCGGTTACACTTACTCATTGTCAGAACGCTCAGACCGCGTTCAGACTTCGCGATCGCGCGATCGGACTCTCGATTCTATCGCGCGATCACGAGGGGCCGCTCAAGAGCTACGCCGCCGCAACGGCAAAATTCAAACTGGGCCGCGTTCATACAGAGCCAATTTGACTTGTGCCGTTGCGGCGGTGCACCGTTTGGCGGTGGAGCGCCCCCTGCAGTGGTCGCGCGATCGCGAAGTTTGAACAACGGTCTAACTGTATTGGCCGGTAGACATAGTCACCGAATTACGAGTTATCCAACATTAATCGTCACATTTCTAATCCTCAGAAAGTCCTTCAACTTCCGTAAATGGCTCAAGGAGGAATCGACTGTGCGACACGAGACTGAGCGGTCAGCAGCTCAACGTTCATACCCAAATGCGCATGGTACAAAAGAAAAGTACAGTGATGTGCAGCATCTGACAGTGCAATGACGACGAAAGGACGATGAATAGATGATAGTCGATGGAATGAGTATATTTGTACACGAGGTCCGAAATACTGCGGTGAAAAACATTGGAACACTGCTCTTGTTCTGCTCAAGAAGCTGAAAATATAGAATAAGTTGAAAGGCTGGAGAAAGATCTCTGTATATGTGTATCAGAAGTTGTGTGTGCGTTTGTATTTTTGTCTGAGCGCCTGGAAAATGGGAATAAGGTGAAAAATCGCCTCAGGAAACGGGTCATTTTTGATATGGGTGGAGCATAGGTCAAAATGTACTGAGCACACCTAACTTACGCCTGGCCCGCACACTTGAGCGTACGCCCCGCGCCCTGTGGCTGAAGCCAAGCCTAACTCGTCCAAAGTGGGCAGGGCGTCCGCTCAAGTGGGCGGGCTCAAGAGCACAAGAATTCTCAAAACGACCAGAAAACAAACGAAATTCAGCAACGAGTCGACGAATGAAATAAGGTAGAGATAGCTGCGACGGGGGAGGGGTGCATACACAAACACGTGTCTTCTTGCGCAGCAAATTCTCCTCATCAATCGCGAATGGGGGTGCCATATACAAAACTGAGAGCATTGCTTTCCATGAGTGGGGGAGTGGTATATGTAGGGAATGAAGCGGTAATGTTTGGCCAGTTTCCGGATAAACTGCCCGGCGCCTCGATTGGCTCTTTTTTTGGAAAATTTAGAGGGACTATCGCTGCACCTGAGTAATCCGACTGCTTTTACAGTGTAGAGCAACCCCATGGTTATCCACAATGGCGTAGCTGATTTGATATTTACCTCTTATAGAAAACATACCAAATTAACGTAAATTAAAAATGGGATACGCATTACCGGAAACTACTATTCCGCCCACCATGTCTTATATTCCCCGGAAAAAAAAACTGCGAACCGCGACCGCGGTGAGAAATGACGAAATAAGTACAGCCTTATTCGCTGCGGATGAAAAGGGGGAGTACCAGGCGCGGCGTTAAACCCGTCTCGCTCGTATCAACCGTTTTCCACCAACTATAGACGTGACCCCCTTCAACAACAGGTGGAAAGCGAGTATGGCGCCGCGCCAATCCCACTCCGGTAGAACAGTGTGGGAGACAAGGCTAAGACCGATTCACATGTTCTGTGTGAATGGTATTTATTTAACAGATCAAAAACAAAAAGTTTTCCAGTCTCAAATCATAGTGACGGCGAATTATTGCAAACCTTACCCCAGACACCAAAAAACTTTACTTAAACGGGAACTCGAAGGATATATGCCAAGAGACGCGCGGACATGTCCTCGACAAATATCTTTATAGTTATCTACTAAGACCTCCCTAACAAGATGATCCGTTGTTCCTTCTGCTGATTTCCTGGAAGAAGCTTTCAGGCTGATTTCATTAACGTGTATAGAATCTGGATACAGAACACCGTCTTGCTTTCAATTCACTGACTAAGAAAGGGGAATGGGTATCGCAAAGGAGCTGCGGCCATTCAGAGAGTGGAAGTGCAGATGAAGTTTTTCTCCTAACGGGATTAAGCAGCAAATGTTTTGTGTTATGGACCACATACGGGGAAAAACGCATTTCAGCAGCTCGACAGTTATCGAAAGTAAAAAAGAATCGTCGATGGTTATTTACTACATTATTACAGGTTCCAAAAAAACAAAAATTCCATAACTTACCACTATCACTAGCAATAACAGGTAATCCATTATCTGATTTCAGGAGGAGTTTCTTGCTAGGTATATCGCAGGCTAAATCTGCATCTGTGGACCTCTTCCTTGTCAACGGGCTAACGTCTAGAACACTTTTTTCGTCTCCCAACCTGAAAAAGAAAACATTTGAATAGGACGCTTCTGAACGAAACAGGGATAAACTCACTTTACTGGTTCGTCTCCCACCCCAAAGACAGGTTTTTGCGGAACATCTGCTACTTCACTATTCGCATCAGATTTTGCATTGGCATCGCTTATTCGATCCACTAGCTTAAAAGGAGAAAATAAAATGCGAAAGTGAAAAGAGTAATCAAAGTAGATAGCGTGGGTGTGATACGCTTCCAAGAAGGGGGAGACTCTGAACGGAAAACTTACCTCTGGATCAGAGGCGCTCTTCTTCATAGGCTCAGCCGTTGCACATTTCGTTTCACTTGAGGAATTCACCGCAGCTTGTTGGTTTTCAGACGAAGACGATGAGTTGGTGGAGACATTCAAATTTTCTGTTGATGCAGACGTCATACGAGTCTGAAATTCACACTTCAACAGAGTGTATTGTACTGTGTACTGTAACCCGTGTAAAAACACATAAAATCTGAAAATTTTTCAGTCGTACTGCAGTAAGCAACAAACCAAGTTGGAGCTTGAGCCAGTCCCGGATGAAGTTCGACCAATAGTACGCCTAACAGCATGACGACCCCGCATGTAGTCCTCTTTGGAAATCCATTGTCCAACATCTGCTCTTCGAACATATTGCAGATCAACCTAGTAAAAAAAAAACTCAGAAACATATCATAAAATGGAGCAGCATTAATTAAACACGATTTTTCTACGTTTCAAAATCACCTACTGGAATTTTGAAAAAGCAGAAGACTACAAGGTACTCTCGAATAACTGACAGTTATTTCACTTTTAATCTCATCATATCCTATCCTGCTTTATATAAGCGGCAACGTCTGCCTATTTGTCCGGAATTTCAACATGACCTGACGAGTTAATTTGAGGGGAACGTTCATGGATGGACCAAGAACTGCGGAGCACACACACACCAACACTGCACACACACACACACACACACACACACACACACACACACACACACACACACACACACACACACACACACACACACACACACACACACACACACACACTCACACCACACACAGCACCAACTTCTCAAGCACCAACACAGCCCCACACCACACACCCACTCACCACACACACGACCACACACAACACACCACACACCACAACCACCCCAAGAGCACCCTGCTCAACACCACACGACACACCCCAACACATCACTCTTAACATCGCCACTATCACACGCCACCACACACACACACCCCACACATTCACCACCCGCCCACACACCCCCCCGATCACTACCACCACACCCCACAACAAGACACACCACACCACACCAAATCCCCCCTCCCCCCCCACTCAACCCACACCACAACATCCCCACAAAGACACACAACACAAATGCAACTCACACATGAAGCCACACAACAACACACTTCACACCACACACACACAGCAGCACCACACGCAACTCTCAACACCACAACACAACACCACACACAGCACAACTACACACACAACACCACAGATACACACTCACACCACACACTACACGACACTCTCCTCCACAAACCACACACACACACACACACACACACACACACACACACACACACACACACACACACACACACACACACACACACACACACACACACACACACCACATGAACTGAGCTAGGGCAGGTCCACTAGAGCGCACGCAGAGCCAGGAGCTGCTTATTTCAAAAATTCCTGAATTCGGTTCCGGCGAGCGGAAAACAAGGAAACGACAGGAAATGGGAGGTAGCATGAATTTAGGCGGGCACACCCACACTGGGCGGGGTGTATCTTAAATGGACGGTACTCGCTACGAAAACTCCGGCGAGCGGAAATAGCAGGAAACGATAGGAAATGGGTAGGCGCACGGAATGAGGGAAACACACCCACATTGGGCGGTTCGTGTTACAAATGGGTGGCACTCGCTTTAAAAATTTCACAACTTCATCACTCAGTTCTAGATAAACCCGGTGAGCGGGCAATGTGAGAAATGATAGGAAACGAGTCGATATACAGGAGGCATACCTGCGATGCGCTTTGCTTGGCTCGAACAACAACTTCATCTACCAAGCCAGTGAACAGAGAATCCTACCGACTAAATGGCCCTATATCAGAGATCGCTGCTTACAGTCATGTCAACTTGAAGCATCAATCCCTCTTTTGCATTGAAGATATCCTTTATATTAATCAAGGTCTTAGAATGACCAGTTGTACTGTCCTGTGTCTACTGGGACAGTTCTCAAGTGGGCAATGCTCGGTTTGTTGGGGGAGAACACTTCCCACTCCCTCTAATTCGGTTGTTGGGGGAGAACACTTCCCACTCCCTCCAATTCGGTTGATGCATATGTTTTTAACCCCGACTTTTTTGTAAATTTGATCCTTCCGTATTTCGTTTGCATGGATGTTGGTATTTCGTCATCACGTGTGCGTGACGTGTACATGATACTCTTTCATCACACTAGCTATCACTCACCCACCCTGCATTTGCAGGCCACAATGCCGCACAATTACCACTGTGAAATCATGTCACAGTGGTGATTGTGCGGCATTGTGGCCTTCTTCGGGTCCCAGCCCCCGTCCTTCTGGGAGGATGGAATCGACAAGCTGCCTGAGCGTTGGCGTCGAGTAGTGGATGGTGATGGTGCATACCTCTTCAGGCTGGTTCGCTATTGAGATATTTACAAAAAATTCGGGGTTAAAAACATATGCATCAACCTAATCCTTCTGTTACTTCTGGTAAGTAACAGGTTTACCGGTAAACTACATATCGTGAAAATGCGAACAAATACATTTGAGTCACTCTAGCTGCAGGAGTTCACAGGTCTCGCAAGTTTCGCTAGTTGAGGGAGTTGAGGAGTCCCCCACGGAGTTGAACTGCGCCGAAACTATTGTAAATTATAGTTCCGTCTGCACAGGCAGTTCCAGTAAGGCCGAAGAAAAGATGGTCTATTAACAATAATTGTAATTGGTTTTATATTTATAGCATGGAATCAGCATCGGCAACGCTTATAACAACATATTTTATAATGAGGAACGACGCTTTCCGTCTGCACATATAGCGCATTTGTACTATGCTCCTCTAGATAATTGCCTGAACATTTCAACTTCCCCGAAAATTTCCTCTGTGTCATAATGATGTTTATATGCACAACAACGTTTTTCATTGTTGTGTTTCTTAATTGCACCCATGACGGGTCTCTTACGTAAAACTCCAACTCAAGTAGTGCGTGAACATACTTTCTACTAAAACGTCGCGAGGACTATGGAGGGTTGGCGGATCTGGAAAGATGGTTTTAGGAGCCGCAGTCCCAATAGCGGCTTGCAGTGTTAGCCAGCACTGTCCTACCCTCCAGTACACTCCACCTTTTTCTCGGGACACAGCCAAGACAATCGTAATTTGCCGTGCCGTCGCGCGCAGCAGCGTTTGAGTTGCCTTGGCCCGTCTGCGTGAGCACCGGATTTCACGAAGACTAGGAAATTGTAGACATTTATGACTATTTTTGGTTATGCATTGTCCATTGTCGCCATCTACCTGTAGACATATAGTCACTACCGCTATCCATCTCCAGAGACTATACAGTCCTCATCATTACGGACTGTCGGGGCGGCACAGCCGCGCTGCAATGTGACGCGACAGCGGCTGCGGCGGTGACGGCGAATCAGCTGATTTCCATGGAATTCGGCTGCGAATTCCCACTTTTTTCAACTCTTCGAGCTTCGAAAGTGGAAGGTGAGTTATTTTGAACAATTTTAAATTGTACTGACTCTGAATGAATCTGAAAGAATACAAGGAAAAGAGCATATAATCGACATAGAAATGAAGGAAATCAGAGCCAGTACAATTCAAAATTGTTCAGAATAACTCACCTTCCACTTTAGAAGCTTGAAGAGCTGAAAAAGTGGGAATTTGTAGCCGAATTCCATGAAAATCAGCTGATTCACCGTCACCGAGCCGCAGCCGCGTCGCAGTGCAGCGCGCTGTGCCGTTCCGACAGCCCATAATGATGAGGACTGTATGTCTACATGTCTATCCGTCGACAAACTCATATATACATATAGTCACTAGCGATGCGACGTCGCAAGGAACGCTCGTGGCAAATTATGATTGTCCTGTCACATACCAGTTCTTCCCTTACCCCGACCCCTGTCAATGATCTCCTTCGAATACTATTATACTTTGAATAACATAACCTGCTTTCCTCTCTCTTTCTGCCCTCTTTTTCTTCACTGACCACTTCTCCATATTCCACATCTACTATCAGACAACGGGCACGTTCCAGTATACCCAAAACGTTGTCCATTAGATACAATAGCCCGATAGCCAAATTCCTGACGGTACAATTTGGCTTAGTGGGTTTGGTTGGCTCTGTCAAGAAGCTTGAGTGGACCGACAAATGCGCGCAAAAAGGGGTTTAAATGAAGATCGCAGTATTCCTTAGCTTGTCTCGCTTTCCGATTCCTCCCTCCTCCATCTTGAGTGATTTGCACCTATGTGGCGATCGCTTATAATGTGTGCAATAACAGAGTGTCACTCTCATTCGAACTGAAATAAATACAAATGTAATAACTACCTTCATCCCATCGTTGTAATTCTTCATTTTGATGCCTGTCGTTACAATTATGTGATGGAACTGGCTTATCTCCACTGTCAGATCGAAAGCTTTAGCCATGGCGCGATCAAACTCCAGACCGATGAACCACAATGTAACAGACTGGGTTCCTGGAAAACAGACATCAGTTGTATGACTATTAAGCAGATGAGTAAGTGAAAGGAAAATGCTTGAGAACTAATCGAGAGGGCATTAAAAGGAAAAAAAAACTACTGCTACGATCGGAAATTTCTCAGTAGCGCAATTGCATACGTCTCTGCGCACTTGCCTTCGAATCGGAATCGTGGTCACATAGCTGATATCGTCGCAGTCAGCCGGGGCGGTTTTAAGAGAGATAGAATGAGCCACCCGCGACTTTCCACCATTGGTTATTTCATTGCCGGATCGACCGCTAACCGATCCTTGACGATGAAAGATGGGAGCCGACGTCGGGCATATTCCGCCCTCCTGACATCGTCCCGACTAATGGCGACAATATCATATATCTCGTGCAAATAAAATAAATATGTCTTTTACTCCAAAAAGTAGGGCCGCGTTCATCACAACGGCCTCCGTGGCCTCCGCGGAATTTCCAAATCGATACGTATACTTTGCTTATTCTAAAATTCCGCGGAGGCCACGGAGGCGCTGTGTATGAACGCGGTCTAGGGCGCTGTTTCGGCGAGGTTAGAGGAATGATTCTCGCTGCCGTGTTCGTTGCTTCACAATGGTCTAACAAGTTTTAAATACGTTGGCTGGCCACGCTCCATGGCTTCATAAAATTTCAAACATCATCTCTACTTGGTGGTCAGACACGACAAGCAGAAGCGAAAGTGAAAATCCTCCCCTCTCCACCCCCTCCCCCCAACTGCGATATTTTTTAATGACAATACACTTACTCATATAGGTAGCGGTTTGTATTGCCGAGGATTGATATGCGCTAATGAAATGCCTTGATTCCGTTCGAGAGCTCCAATCAAGTGTCGAATTTTCGATTCAACAAAACCGCAGAATATCAAGTGATCTTCTTCCGATCGTGCCGCACAGGTGAGAGCTTAAAAGAACATTTAAGCAGCTCATCATTTTAACAAATGTGCTCTTGTTGTAGAACAACTTACAAATGAAGTGTTTGTATCTCGTGAAGAAATTCACTTCTTCGAAAAGCTTAGACCATTCTGCACGACCTTCATAAATATCCTTCATGATTTCAAGCCCTAAAAACTAGTTGAATTGCAGTACGTCGAATTTTCGCAACCTGTATCAATAGGAGATACCTTCTTTCATCTCATTAATCATTATGCTTCTTGTTGAATTCGTTACGTTGAATGTGGAATTCTGCTCAGGGAAAGCGGGGGTGAGAATGGGCATGAGATGGAACCTAAAATGCCGTTCCAGCAATGTTTTAGGTAATTACAGATCAATAAACAAAAAAATACCTATCGGATCCGCGAATTCGAGGATCCCATACTAATTCTTGGAGATTTCCAATATCAGGCCGACAACTAGTATCCATGTCTTTCAGAACAACAGGAAGGGGCCATTCCCTGAAGGCAATAAGGGGTTCGAACGAGAACGTCTTTAAGTTCAAAAACAGGACAATCTTTGCTTCTCGACTCACCATGTAACGAATACTAGAAAGAATTTAAGAAGCAATTTGGAGGGTGAAGCGTTGGGATACAATTGACATGTTCGTGCTACTAATATGGCCCATGTCACACCTCCGAGAAATCCTAGAAAGAAACAGCGTACAGAAACGATGAGTTGTTTATTCACGTGAATGCGACTGATAGAGAAAAATCCAACAATTACCTAAAACGTTTGAGTAGATACCATGGTTCTTCGCCCATAACTTAACAGCTCGCAAGACATAAAGCAAATGCTTCCGGATACGGGACTAGTCGCAGGATTTCATCGGCTACTCGACAGCCTGAAACAGCACCGCGATAAATTCAAGGTGATTCTTGAAAGCAACCAAAATGCCTGCGCAGGAGAATTTGCAGAGCGCATTCACACTTCGAAATATGATTGCGGGATCCTAACACTAGCGATCCGTGTGATCGGTTTGCGAAGTATGAACGCGCTCTTACTGTATTATGGTGTCCCAAAAGTTCGTGGGTCATTTTTGAACCCCATGTTGGATCTTTCTGGAGCAGTTTCGAAATCCAGTTATGTGGTTCATGGAAAGCGTACTCAGTAACCAAGCTAATGGCGCTCACCGTACAACACAGCGGCCCTTTTCGCATTCAAAACAAAAGATTAAATTCATGACTTTCTCCACGTTTTGCAAAATGAATCTGGGCTGGGTTACAACGCAGTCACATGCAGCATTTGCTCTGCGTTAGGGTCCTGATGCTATCTTTCACAGATGAAAGTACTGCGCTGGACGGCGGGCGTCAGCAGTATAGCTCCTACAGTTGACAAAAAGGAAACGCGCCTTCGGTGGTAAGGCCATGTATTTCCGGCAAAGGCTTACACCGTCCATAAGACTACCTTCAGTCCTAGATAGCCGCAAAGCAACCCAAAGGACATCCCAAACCGCTTTCGCTGATACGTTGCACAGAGGCTTGTAAATAGCTGGAATCCAGCCCAATCAGGCATGTATTTGACAAAGATGATGTAATCCTATCGAAAGAGCGTTCCCGTAACGAGTGGGACAGACGCTAAACAATAAGAAGGACAATCTATCTCGCATAGTAAGGTACAAGGTGGTTGGACCCTTTTCGCCTGAGAGATTTCTACCTGAGGTACAAAACTTGTCAAGGAAAGCCATCTGCATTGGATTTGGGCTTACTGCGTTCTCTTATTGAAAAGCAAGTTGAATGGAACAACTCGCTAACTACACTCTACTCGCTAACTACACTTGAATGTTCAAAATGCTTATATGGGAGGGGTCTGTCACCCAGGAAATTACTGAAGTTTGTTCGTAAGAGTTTTCATGACGTGACCGATTTCCGATGCGGAGTACGTGCAGGTACTGAGATCCAGCCAATGCTGACGAACTTGTCCGAGAAATTTTGAACCTTCACAAAGGTCACAGGGCTAGAAAAGTCTGTAGCCTGAACCAGGGTACAGCATCGTGATGTGTCAAATTTTGGTGTAGGTACCCCCCCCGAGAGAGCGGTGTCAGTACGACCCCCCCCCCACCTAAATGAGGGTCTCGGTACGACCCACCCCCTTCCTCAACACCTACCTACTACCAATTTCCCATATTTTCCTGTTTTTTCACCTAAAAATTTTTTTCAGCGGGGGGGGGGTAACACATGAAGCAGGCAAAATCACACGAAAGTCAACAACCAGGGAAAAGTTTTTCCCCAACGCAGCAGATTTCTCTTAAAATCACATGCGACCTCCCAACGACCAAATACGATTCCCCCCCCCCCCTTCCGAGCAGAAAATTAGATGTTGTGTTTCACACAATGTGTTCAAAATTAGATGTTTGTGTTTCACACCATGTGTTTCACACAATGATGCTATACCCTGGCCTGAACGCCTCATATAGTGCCCATGCTTTCTCACTGACCACCTTCTTCGACAAATTGTGGAATACACCATACTAACAATGTTTGCTCGTCGGCTGAAAATCTTTTTATGCTGCTGATATACTTCGGAACCACATACTCATTCACTAGAACTACCATTTTTCAGCCAGTTTCTTCATATAAGACGTAATCCGAGCCAGACAAGTGAGGATTGTTCGTTGAACAACAGCAATGCAAGATTACCCAGTTCTTCCACAGAACACGTGATTTTTGGAACCGTGCCGGTACTTCTTTCCAGATGAATTCTGATGACGTCCCAGATGAAACTGATGTAGAACAACTTCTTCGTAAGAACACCCGTGTTGACCGCCAAAGCTGGTGAGCAGTTGAGAATTTCCTGGCATACTCCAAAATGTCGCTGAAAGATGGCACCTCTCGCTGGGGTCAACTGGCTTCCTAATTAGAAGCATCGGTAGACCCGCTTGGCGTTCATGTCTTCTAAGTTGTGATTTCAATGAAGAATTCTTTGAGACATACTCATGATGTGGGATTAAGCCAAGATTACTGTCTAAGGCCGCGTTCATAGCTTGCGACCATGAAGAAATGCAGAATGCAGAAATGAAGAAGTGCGGAATCTGCAGAAATGACGAAAAGCATTACATACGTATCGATCTGAAGAAATGCAGAAATGCCGAAAGTGAAGAAATGCGGAATCTGCAGAAATGCCGAAAGTGAAGAAGTGCGGAATGTGCAGACATGCGGAATCTGCAGAAATGACGAAAAGCAATTCATACGTATCGATTTTCCGCACTTTCGGCATTTCTGCATTTCTTCAGATCGATACGTATGTAATGCTTTTCGTCATTTCTGCAGTTTCCGCACTTCTTCACTTTCGGCATTTCTGCAGATTCCGCATTTCTTCACTTTCGGCATTTCTGCATTTCTTCACGGTCGCAGGCTATGAACGCGGATTAAAACTTCTTCCCCGTTTCCGAGACTGGCTGAGCAACGCTGAAACTGGATATAAAAGAAGTACCCCAGGTGCCACTGACTAGGTCCCCTAGAAAGGAGAGACCCAGTCGTGCAATATTCATTCAATATTAAGGTGTGCATGTATGTGGTGGTGGAAAATTCAGTCACGCCCGTGCTGCAGCAGCCCATACTTATTCCCTTTTGACTTTCATCGCACCTCATTCAGCAGCCGTCTCTAGAACTAATACCCGTTTTTTCAAGAAAAGCGAATATTTCACTAGGCACTCAAATACCTCACCCTTTTTCACAAAACTGTAGACAGATTCTAGTACACAACTCAAAATGGGATGATTAATTGCACTGGCATTGGAGAATATGACAAAAAGAACATTGGTACTACTCATCCATAGAGAAAAAAGCAAAAAAAAAATAAGAAAAAAAAATCGAGCTGTAAAGCCATGGCACTTATGCCCAAACCTAGATTAATATTCAGAAAAAATTCCTCACAAATTGCTAAACTGTTGTACATAAAAAAATACCGTTCAACGATCTGATGCTCTTATCGTCGAGATTCTTCAGAAGCATGTCGTCGTTCAATGTTTGATCATCAGGTACTTCCTGTAGAACGTTTCATCAAGTAAAGGTGAAACCGTTAGTAGCAATGGAATTAGCAACGTAGTAAGAAATTAAAATATATTAACAGTAGAAAAACTAATAGTCGAAAGGAGGATCAAAAGCCATTCTAAATGAGAATGTTCGAGGCAAAACCAAAGACTGTCCATGGACGTCGCTCACTTCGAATTTCCAAATATTACAATCCTAAACTGCTATCAACCATTCTCCACGTTTGCAAACTTTTTTCAGCTTTCCAACTTACAACTTTATTATTATCGAGTTAACATATGCAACATAGGTGATTCATCAGCGTTGCCTGTACCACAATAAAAATGCTTGATGTTGAATTTTTCGCCGTGAAATATTCAGAGAGATACTGCATGTTACGATATCATCTCGATGGCTTAACGTATGAAAAGTACAACTCAAGCGTTCTCTTTTTGGAGCAAACTCTATGCAAAAGAATCAATGAGATACAGCGGAGCTACTAGATCAGGGCTTGCCGTATGTTAGGCATTGTTCACACTCTGCGGTCCAGCGTTTCTCTGAAACGCGGCGGTTCGGCGAAAAGCTTTCGATACATATCGACTGGCGGTTGGGCGAAAGGGTTTTGGTACGTCGACGGGCGTTTCGCCAAACCGCGACGTTTTTCGCCTTCGACAAAACGCTAGCTCCATCGCGGTGGCGTTTTTCGCCAGCGAAATCGATACACATCTACTGCTTTTCGCCCAACCGACCAACCGCGGCGGTTGGGCGAAAAGCAGTAGAACCGCCCAACCGCCCAACCGCTGTTTCGTCAGGGCCTGGAGACTGTGAACAATGCCTTAGCGATATTTCTTTTTTTTTCGGCTGACGCAAGCAATATGCTATATTCCCCCTTAGGCCGCGTTCATAGCTTGCGACCATGAAGAAATGCAGAAATGCCGAAACTGCAGACGTGCCGAAAGTGCAGACGTGCCGAAAAGCATTACATACGTATCGATTTGAAGAAATGCAGAAATGCCGAAACTGCAGACGTGCCGAAAGTGCAGACGTGCCGAAAAGCATTACATACGTATCGATTTGAAGACAGAAATGCCGAAAGTGAAGAAGTGCGGAATCTGCAGAAATGCCGACAGTGCGGAATGTGCAGAAATGCCGACAGTGCGGAATGTGCAGAAAAGCAATGGATACGTATCGATTTGAAGAAATGCAGAAATGCCGAAAGTGAAGAAGTGCGGAATCTGCAGAAATGCCGAAAGTGTGGAAAATCGATACGTATCGGTTGCTTTTCTGCACATTCCGCACTTTCGGCATTTCTGCATTTCTTCAAATCGATACGTATGTAATGCTTTTCGTCATTTCTGCACTTTCCGCACGTCTGCAGTTTCGGCATTTCTGCATTTCTTCAAGTCGATACGTATCTATTGCTTTTCTGCAGATTCCGCACTTCTGCACTTTCCGCACTTCTGCATTTTCCGCATTTCTGCATTTCTTCATGGTCGCAAGCTATGAACGCGGCCTAATGCTCGACGCAATTTTTTTTCTTGAGAGAAACACCGGAAGGTTGGGAAAACTTTGCGAAACGATAGTGTATGAGGAAGAAGGTCCTGCCAGAGGAGGAGCTTTGGCGGGGGTGGTCTGTGCAAAAATCTTCCCCGTCCGCAGAACGTGCCCTGTGTGGAAACCTTCCCCAACCGAGACCTTCGTTTGGTTCCCAGTCTTCTCTTACCCCAGGCTATTTTCTTAAACTTCACAGACAGCTATATGGAAATCTGAGCTTGTATTATAGTAAAAGACAACCGATCAGCTTCGCATTGTTTTGTTTCGACCTACTGTTATATCTGGGCATTAGAGCGCAATGGGAAGCGATTGTTTATAAAAACAGGTAAATCTCGAAGCAACATTAAGGACGAAATTCCCTAAATTTCAATGTTTCAACCATTATAACATTGGAGGAATGACGTATAATAAGGCCGAAAACAAACTGAAGAAACAATGCAACGAAATATCTGATGTCGTCAATAAATCAGGAGGTAAATTGCAAAAAAAAACTACCTTCAATGCTAATCTTGCAAAAAGGATATCCAGCTCAATGCCCGCGTATTTGAGCTTAATAAGTGGGACGAATGCATCTTCGACAGCATGAAGATCAGTAACTTTGTCATCCTACAAAACAATTAAGAGCCCAGAAAAAATAAATTTTGATCTTATATCTTACTGCTTTAAGCATGTCGTAGAAAGAACCGAAGAAGTCTGAGCGATCGACATGCCTAGGTGCCACACAGAGTGTATCGATATCAGCACCTAAATATTTTATGATAAAGAAAGCAGAAGTCGAACGGCACAGTTGACAGTCACGTAGAGAATGTAGAGCAAGATTTAAAGGCAGCGCCCCGCAAGTCGAACGGCACAGTTGACAGTCACGTAGAGAATGTAGAGCAAGATTTAAAGGCAGCGCCCGCGTTCAAATTTGATGAGTATGCGGCTCAGGTAGTAATAGCAAGGTAGCAAGAAACCTATTAGTGAAGAAAAATCAAAAAGAAAACATGCAAAATGCCCTATAAGGAGTTTCATACCGAATAGCGGTTGTACGTGCTTAAGGCGAAGAGAAGGAGTGGTTGCACGAGTTCTCACTTGTTGATGCTGTTTCCCCTTATCACCTCACTCTCACCACACGACGTGGAGAGAAGCAGCAATGGAACAACCGCACCATCAGGCAACCATTAGAAATGAAGTTGGGCGTCGTGGTCGCCAGGTGGGCGGGGCGGGGCGGTCGACTCTTTACTAGCGATAGGCGCTATCCTCTCGCCTTTGTGAGATGCAAAACTAGTACATACTGCATCCTTATGGGGAGGGCTATGATATCCAGAGAAGGGCGTAGGAACATCAGTGAACGTGGGCGCTGCCTTTAAGGAAGACAAGTGAACTCCAAAGCTACCTCTTGTATGTACTCCTAATCTATAAGATCCAAAAGTAAATAGTTTTCCACCAACATTTTCGCACATTTCGGCAGGAAGCTGAAATCCAGAGTTCAATTTTTAATAAGAAATTGATTGAAGAGAATGTGTACTCCATATTCTGGAATAGAGTGGGCGTGACTGCGAAGTTGAGCGTGGCGGCGGCTGTGCGTCTGATGAGATATTTCTGTTTTAGGACAATTCAAAATATGTTTGCTAGCACGAAACAACAATACAGCTGTCTGAAGTGAAAATGCCCAGGAAAACCCCATCCTACGCCATACTGAGATAAAGTTCGCGGCCACGCCCTCTACTTCTCTGGGATATGGCGCGTAAATCCAAGAGAAAAACAGTACCTTGGACTCTGACACTTTCCGCACCCAACTTTTTACTAATGAGTTGAGTTTTCGAAGAACCTCCATTCTCGACTGCATTTCCTCGTCTGTTTCGAACAGATTGAAATTCTTCAAACATTCTACAAGCTGAAAGAGGAAACAGGACTTTCCATGGAACAGAGGAAATGGTATTTCAGAAAGTCTCATCATCGCCTACCTGCGCAGTGAGTCGCAAATCTCGAGCGTCTGGTAGGGCTTTCGATATCGGTTGACTAACGCCCAAGCAGGGAGTTTCTCGGGCCTCCCCAAACCCATTCTCCTTGCTCATCCCTAGATGCGTATGTTAGGTTAAAAATTACGTAGAATCAACAAAAACCAAATAACAAACGCGAATGGAGAAAGTTTATTAACTCACGAACACGTGCAGAAATATAAGAGAAGTAAGCCGGTAGCACACACAGGAACAATGTTTACAACGAGTACAACAAATGAGGAAATACAAACTATACTCAAATTTTAGGCGCTTTCTCGATGAACAATAAGCATTTCTAGGAAACCTAAACAATCGCAAAAAAGTAAGCGCCGTACTTGAATGACTACAAAATAGTAAAAAACGATTAAGCAGAGATGGATTAATTTGCTAAACGAGGAAAATTACAAAATTAAGTCCACTAGCGTTGCTAGGCAACAGCGAATCTTAAAGGACCATATTAAAGCTATCACAAATCCTGCTAATAAGAAAAATGCATCGAAATAACTGACAAAGAAACGTTAAATGAAAGGTCCGCGGAAACTGGGAAGAGGATGATAAACCCTTACAGAACGAAGTATTCAGGAGCACAAAAAATGAGACAAACCAGAAACAGATTGTGAAGCAATGAAAGAAAAAGAACATATTCAAATGAACTTAGGTCCATAAACAAATCATCTTCCCTTCCCAATTATCTATTGTGGAAACGCGCTCCCCAAATGAACATGTGACGTGAGTCGTGAACTTTCTCCGTGGTCACGGACGAAATCGAGAACGCGCAAAAGAGAAATCGAGAGAGAAAGGTTTCTGCAAATGGTTTCCTCGTGTTTTTGAGCCCTTCATTACTTTCCCAGTTTACCAGAAATGGCCGCTTTGAGGGTCTGTATTCCAACTTACGCCGCAAACCTTCCTTTCTGTGTTCGTCTGGTAATTAAAAGTTAGCGAAGGTAATTTCTCAATCGCCTCGTCTGTGGACTTGAAGCGACCGGAATACTTTCTCACAGTAACACTCCAGTCGGCATTAGTCAGCACACATTAATGCATCCCGTAGAGCCTGGGATTTCGGCGCTGAAGTAGGTGGGGGGGGGGGAAGCTTGCCTGTCTCTCTGCATCCCTTCTCCAAGAGAGTTCAGGTCTAGAGCGCCGGATATCCGAGGGTTAGTCTCGCAATGAAGACATAGTCTCCACTAAGGCTAATTGTAAGTCTCAATCAATGGAAGGGACACGGAGGCGCTGGCGAGTGCCCCCCCCCCGGCTTGGTTGGTCATGGGGTTTCTGGACTATCTTCCGGCATTATTTGTCAGGGCGCGTTCATACTTCGAGATGCGAACGACATTGTCAGTCGCGCAATTTGGGAATCGCAGGACTACGATCGATAACGTCTGATCGCTAATCTTGACCTCCTGTAAACGATAGAAGTCCTATCCTCAATCAGCATCTGTCAAAAATGGTAAATTACTTCATCAGGCGTGAATGCAGCTTTTCTTTTGCTGTCAGAGCGCCGAGTGAAGACACGCCCGTTTTCATTCGATGTTCAGGAGCCTTCTTTGGGCATGGTAGTTTTATCCGCAAGCAAGGTGGACGTACTACCTTCGTTGCCCAAAATTGCATGGGGAATGGGCGACCCGTTTGCGGGTAGCCAAGGCCCCGCCTACTGGCCACGGCACGCCCAACACCTATTTTTAATTGGAGTCTGGTGGTGCAATTACTACTCTCGCGCTACTCTCTTTACTTTAATGATTAGAGTGAGGTGATGAGGAGACAGGTCGGACACCAACAAAGGAGAACTCGTCCGACCGCGCCCTTTCCCTTGTGCACGCACAAGCGCTGCTCAGCAAGGAGGTTATATATGGTACATTTCAGAATTTCTTCTGCTTTTTTTCTTCCTCTAGTTTTACTCACCGTATTATCATTAATGTTTGAGCCGCACACCTCACCGTTTTTGCATCCGGGGCGTGGCTTCAGGTCATTCTCGCGTTGCTAGGGGGCGGAAGGGGGGGGGGGGAGGCGTATTTGGTCTGGTAAACAATTTCATTGTTCGTTTTTGTCCTCCCTGGTGCACCACATGTATCTCACCCCAGGATGTCACGTCGCAGTTCTACTAAATCTGATAGTCAGGTGTAGCTATCTGTCTACCCGGCCGTGGCAGAGTGGGTGAGGGGTGAAGGAGCCAGGACCATAGTGGGAAGAATCCCTTGATGGGCCCTGATTAAAACTCGTGTCGCTAGACCTCTGCATGTGGAATGAGACAGCGATGATTACAATTGATTGACGATGACGCAGCTAAACCGCTACGATTTGCTGTAAAATTGATTATTTTACGTGGCGCTTGTTTCTGGGAACTTTCTCGCCTCAAACTTCATCGCTCAGTGCCACCCTGCTTCAACTGTGTGGCACGTAGCCTTTTTCACATTACGAAAATCTAGTTCATAATAGGAGTTTCACCCAAAACAGCAATCGGAGACTGGGTACGTCTTGGCGTTCGGGAAAACTTTTGCAAAACACGATTCCCCTAAATTTCCTCCTAGTTCCCCATCCTACCAACCATCTTCCTAAATTTTTCCAGTCAGGGCACATCCATAGGTTGAGGATTGTGGTCGAGTCCGTACGACCTCCTCCCTAGTTTCTTCTAATACGACCAAGTGTCGTGCTTGGTACGGGTTGGACGGGGGGGGGGGTGTAGCACATGTGAAACGGAAGGAAAACCACGAAGAGTCAACTACCGAGAGAAATTTTTCCTAGCACCGCAGACTACTCCCAGGAGGCAAAGATGACTCGCAACTACGACCCCTCTCTCTTATAGGGTTCTTGAAATAAGAACAACCAATACAAAAAAGTTCTCAGATTAAATGCAACCCTCCTGGAGGGGAATCCCAACAATGATGTGGCCTGGTCCCAACGCCCCTCAATTTGCGTATTTTTTCCCCGAGAACGGCCATCGAGCGGGAGAGGTAGCGGGGGGGGGGGTGTAGAGCGCACTTGAAACAAGAAAAACTGAGAAAGGTGAAAGGTAACAACCGGGAACAACTTTTCTGATACGACTCCTTCCCTCTAGTAACCAATTAAACCTCTTTTCACTTGGTGGGCTTACCCAACGTAAGACGCGCCTTGACTGTAAGATCTCAAACCAAGACATCTCAAGAGCCAAAGGTGTGAAGCTATCGAGTGCGAGGGCGCGGCGTGCCAGTGGGAAATGCTCGCGAAATGCGACCCTCCTCTCCACCTTCACAATTTCCTCCTCTGTACGACCTCCAGCCCCACCCCATCTTTGCTGCCACTTGGCAAATTTCCCCAACCTTCCCGCTATTTTTCCCTACTTTTTTTGCGAATGTTCTCCAGTTTGTCTCCTGGAAAAACTGCGATCGAGTGGAAAGGGGATAATATAGCGCGGGTAAAACGAGAAAACTGAGAAAAGTCAATATTCGAAAACATTTATCACAGAGGCAAACATCCTCCATTTCCAGCGATTAAAGACCCCCCTCATCGGGTGTCTTCAACGTACGATGTTCTGGATGGCCTGGCTGCATATCTATCAGGTGACTACACTTCCGTTAGGAGCGCACTCCCCTACTATACTTCATCCCGTAGAGGATTGTGCGTGCGTGAGCAGCGTTCTTTTGTTTTGGGAAATCCGTGATGTGAGTGGCCATGAATTTGATGGTAATCGATCGACCAATCGAGCAAATCGCGCCCGGATTCGCAAATGCCCCCCCCCCCACCAATGGCGGATTCACCAGTTCTATATGACCACCCTTGTTGTGCTTCCTCTTGAATCCTTACTTCTGATAAATCGTGCATTCTATACACTCGCGGATAATGAACATTCGAAAAGCGTAAACGTGGAATTTCAACAAATTTCGATTTCACAGGGGTTAATTATCCCGCATTTTGTCGCGCTCGGTCCATCTTCTGATTCGCGTGGCGCATGGTACTTGCTAAGGCTGCGTTTATACTTTGCGGCAGCGTAGCATAACGCTTGCAGTGTTTCACGAGCGTTTCACTAGCGTTTCGCTAGCGTTTGCCAGCGGCGGGGCTAGAGAGTAAAGAGTAGGAGAGTATTTTGTACTCTCCTACTCTTCTATACTCTCTAGCCCCGCTAGCGTTTGCAGCGGCGGGGCTAGAGAGTATAGAAGAGTAGGAGAGTATTTTGTACTCTCCTGTTTTGAACTGCATCACGGTTCAAATAAGGTTTTGGTGGTTCAAGTGGTAGGTTACATGTTTATTGGTAACACATAGCACATACAGCATGACTACAATCATTAAACTACAAGCATAAACATACGAGGCTAAACTACTGGCATATTCGTGTCAAATGCAAGTCAAGTTGTGTTGTCTTGTGTTCTTCTTCAGGCGATAGCGGGTCCGCAGTGTCTTGTGTCTCGTCTCCTGTGTTGGCACATCGTGTTCGTTCTTGTCCCTATGTGCTCGTGATGTGGAAAGCAGTGAAACTGAGAGAAGAAACCGTGAAGAACTGCGAAGAGAACGAGCGAGAGTGCCCTCAGCGCGCCACCTTTATAGCCCTGATTGTGGGTGGTATAAATACCGGCTCAGGTGGGCGGTACCAAGGCCTCCTATTGGTTGGTTACAGGCGATGAGCGAACTTTCTAGAAAATGTGCATTTGCGACCCGTGCATCCTAGTCATCATGACCAAGGGTCATGACATCTCCTACTCTTCTATACTCTCTAGCCCCGCCGCTGCAAACGCTAGCGAAACGCTAGTGAAACGCTCGTGAAACGCTGGAAGCGCTACGCTACGCTGCCGCAAAGTATAAACGCAGCCTTAAGAAGAGGAGGATTGCTATGTTTCTTACGCACCCATAGTAACTAGATAAGGTTGGTTCCAAGAATTGACGCGGTGAGTGGGATGGGTACCACAGGGCGTCAGAAAATGGTCAGGGCTGACAAAATTCGAT